GCCCCTTCCCCCCGGGGCCCTGGCTGGACAGCCCTGGCTGGACAGCGCTCCGGCTCAGCGCTGGGGGCGGAACCGCCTGCCCACCTGGGTCCCGGCCTGGCCTGGGCGCTCTGGTCTGTCAGGTGGCCCCGCTCGCTGGCCAGCTGTGGGCCAAGGAGACTTGTCTGAGGGGGCACAGAGGAGGCAGGGAGACTGGACAGGTGCGGCTGGCCGCGGCCCTCCCGGGGCTTGGCGACGCTGGACCCTCGCCCGGGCCCGCGGGGCGGCGGGGGTCCCGCAGCCGCAGGCTGAGGAAGTTGCATCATCCCCGGCCGGCCCCGGGCTCCGGCCGCCTGGAAATGCCCGGCCCAGGCGGGCGGCCACTTCCTCCCGGGCCGCGGCCACTCAGGGCGCCCGGACGGAGGGCTCTGGGGCACGGTGCTGCCCTCGGCCCAGACTTGGGGGTGCCGCTCGTGTCTGGGGACCCCACACCCCGAAATGGCACTCGGGCACTTGAGCCAGGCCTCTTGCACCTGCCCGGCGTGCGGCCTGTGCCCGGTGCCAGGACGGCGCTGGGACAAGCTGGCGGGGGGGTCCGGCTGAGGCAGCCGGCACCGGGGCTGAAGGGGCGCCAGCTGCAGGCGGTCCCGGTTCTGGGGAGCCTTCCAGGTAGAAGGGGGCGCAGTGCAGGCAGAGAAGTGGCTGGGCGCGGGCCATCTGCGTGGCGCGGGGCAGCGGCGTGGCGGGAGGGGTGCGAGGACGCCGCGCTGTGGCTGGTGTCAGCACTGGGAGGACAGGACGGCGCGGCCACAGCCCGGGGTGTGTGGCTGCCTCCCGTGTGTCCCCGCCGCCCGGCCTGCTCTGGGCCCGGCCCCTCCCCCTGCCCCACGACTGCCCCCCGGGCGTCCTGGCCTCCCTGACTGCCCCCCCAGCCCGCAGGGCCACGCCCCCACTGCCGAGGCCCGCGCCCCCCGGGCCTCCCTCGTGGCCGGTCCTCCGGCTCGCCGAGCCCCGGGGCGGATCCTGGAGGTGCTGCCTGGGGTCCGAGCTCACAGCCCAGGCCGCAGCTGCCCTCAGGCCCGGCCTGGACGGGGTGGGCACGGGGCTGGAGTCTCTGGACGCCTCCCTTCCACCACGATTCTTGCAGAAGTCTGAAAAACAGAGCTGGGTGGCATCAGAGTGCTGGCGCCCCTCGGCCGCGCCCTCCAGTGGGGGTCAGTTTGAGGCGGGGCGCCAGGAGCGCCCCGCCCCCCCAGACCAGCACGCCAGCCTGGCAGCGGTCACGGCCACAGCAGGGCCTCGCAGCGCTCGGAGGCCCCGGACGCCCGAGTTCCGCTTCCTTCTCTGCTCCCCGGGCCGGGGACCAGCCCACGCCCAGGGCCGCGGGAGAGCGTGTGCAGGACCCGCCCACGGGAGAGGGGCGCTTGCCCGCCCCGCCCTGCTCACACTGCACCCGACCCCACTCCGCCTGGGGCGCCCCGCGCGTTGCCTCCCCCCCACCCTCCCTCCAGGAGGACCCCGGGGCCGGCGTGGTACCCCCCAGGGCCTCTCCCCCGACACGGACAGAGCTGTCCCCACCCGGCCCCACGACTCGCTGTCTCCACGCGTCACCCTCCCTTACTCCTGTGCCCACCTCGGGGCTCGCGTCCAGCACTGTCCCCAGGGCCT